GGATGGGAATCTACGTTGCATTTGACGCACCGCTAAAAGATGAATCGACAGATTCCAAGGGGCTCTTGGTGATCGCACTACAACAGCTGCTTTGGAAAAATACACCTTTACTTATTTTTTTAGAATTTTTTTGTTCTTATTCAGCATTAATATCATCCTATTTTACTTCATAAAGAACTTCCATCTACCTAGCATCTCTGTGTACTTCATTCACAAAAAGGTGTATTTTTTCCAAACCAGCTATTGTAGTATGATCACCAGAAGTTCCTAGTTCTGTGTGGTGATTTTTGAGAGTCTGCACTGTATAATCACAGAGCTGTTGATTAAAATAGGATGATATTAATGCTTAATAATAACAAAAAAATTCCCCATGTCCCCTGGGGGGCTCCGTAAAAACCAGTCAGCCCCCCCCCCATGGGCTGTTCTAAAGAAATGCACTTGCAAGCTAGCTACATCATGTGTGATGTTGCTGTAAAACCCTCACAGGGGGTTAACGTAGAATTAGCCCTTCACAGGTCTCCTGGATTGTTTTTTTCAGATAAAAGTATTGACTACTGACCATAATGACTTCTTAGACTGTGAACCACATGAAAACTGATCATTTTACTTTAGTATATTTTTTTTTCTGTATAAATGTGGTAAAAATCATTTAAATTACGGTGATTACATGATTTATTTCCAATTGAAGTAATTTCTCTGCACATTTGTGTGCATGCTGGTTTTTTTTACATAGTAGCAGAACCTGCTGTTCCAGCGGAGCGGTCCGTTGTACGGACTGGACTAGACTCCACCAGAGATGTTGATGCAGGATGTTCCCAATGGGAATGCCATCCACTTCCCTGGAGGGTGGTAGGAAAAAAAAAAAAGGAAAACTTAAGGATTTTTCTTCCCTTTCTTTCTGCGGATTCCTAATATTTTTTCTGAGATCTCAGACAATTTTTGTTGTCACTTAGTTTTATTTTTTTGATCGGATCCTATAAAAAGAACTTGATGCATCAGATTTATTTAAGTTCAACTGAAATGGACCATTTATTTTCTGGACCCTGGATTGTCAGTTATTATTGAAACACAGTGAATGTTAAAAGTGAACAAACTGAATTTAAGTTGTATTGAGCCAATGTTCTATTTTAGGAAAATTGTCAAAGATTTTTGAAAATATATTATAGAAGTTATTTAATCCCAGCTGTTGTCAGCGTCTCATTTTGGTTGGAAAAATCTTTCACTCGGTGCCGATCTCCTTACGAATCTAAATTTAACTCAAGTGAGAAGGTTTATGATGTTTTTTTAAGACTTTGGAGATAACGCTGATTGATAAGTTGATATTTGTTTATTATTATTTTTTTTTTTATTCTTTATTCTACTCAGATAAAAAAAAGGGGAACACACTCAAACAGGACTGCAGAGGAATGATAAAGAAACATTTGGGTTTATTTTATGTTTAACAGGTTTACCTCAAATATTATGCTATTAAATAAAACACTGGAACTATCAGTAACCTGAAGTTATTTCTGCTCTAGTTGGAACCTGCCAGTAATAATCTAAGACAAAGAAAGATGCATAAATTATTCATAAAACAGCACCTCTGGTTATGTTTAACCCTGTATCAGCACACTAACCCCCCCTATAGGTTCGGTTTTTGTCCTCCTCAGCCTGCAGGAGGTGACTTTCCTCTGGTCGTTTCTCGCTCACACCGTAGATAAAAGCTTTTTAACTTCTGTTTCACTGTTTTCTCCCAGAAATGGATCCAATTAAGCTCAAACTTTCAACACTGGTTCTTCAATTCAAATCACACTTTCAATAGTTTAGGAAAAAACAAAAGGAATGTCTTTGTAAAATATATTGATTTAAAGTTTTCCTCGTGCTATATGCTGCTCCATAGCAGAAAATCTACTGGAAGCAAGGCTGTAACTCTGTGATGAAAGCTGGTGGGGGCGCTCTGAAGGCGGGGGCGCTCTGAGGGCGGGGGCGCTCTAAGGTATGGACACAATTTTAGTTTCATTCAATCATCCATCCAGAAAAATTAGGATGGATTGGATGTTTTCCCTTTCAGCTACATCAGTAATTATCCTCCTTCAAAAGCGGCAAAATCAAATTTAGAAAATTCTCCCACATATTATTTAGATCCAATATCTATGTATTGAAATTATTGGTGGGACATGTCCACACCAGTCCTATCGAAAGCTACGCCTGTGACTGGAAGCCAATGTAATGAGGCTAAAATAGAGGAAATATGATAAATTTACTTGTACCTGTTCAAAGACGCGCAGCAGCATTCTGCACACTCTAAAGCTGAGAAAGGCATGAATCAGTGATGCCCTTATAAAGTGCATTACGGTAATCCAGCTGGATTACAAACGCATTGACCACTGTTTAAAAAAAAACAGGCGAGGAAATCAGTTGAAGCGTGTGGTTATAGGGCCCGATAAAATCCGTTTTATTTTTTCCCAAATTACGCTTTTTCCGTTTTAATTTTTGCGAATTTCATTTTTTTACCCTTTACTCTTATTTCAGTCGTAAAAAGAATGTGCTTTTAATGTTAATGATTAAAATATACACAAATAAAATAGGAATGATTTTAAATTTATTGAGGTAAAAAAAAGACATTTCCTCAGTACTTTTACTGCGGGATGCAACATAACGCTGCACTCTAAGTACTAACAAAATATTACTGGTTATGAACCAATGGTTATCAATAAAAGTGCTCCATTAACTTTTTCAAGTAAAAAAATTAAATAGGACCTTTCAATTTCAGAATTATAAAGTATTTAATAAAGAATCATATTTTCCATACAGTACATTAAAGTGCATAAAAAACCAGGCAAAATACAGCAAGTACTCCTGAGTTATATGATTAAAGTGGACTTTGTCATCATGTAACTGACAAAAACTTTTGATCAAAAGTTACTTAAATAAGTATTCAAGTTGTAGGACTAATATGTTTTTGTATTTTTACGCTTCCAATCAATGGAATGTTGACAAAACTTGCAAAACAATAGTTGACCTGACATGTAAAAGTCACGAGGGAACTGCTCGGCTCTGTACTCAGGGCTTAGCTTCGCGTTTCTCAACTTTTTCGCCATTTTTTCAATATTTGATGGGGGAGGGTGAGCAGAAATGACGGAGCGGGAGGGGTTGTGTCGCCCAGATTTGCGTCCTCCGGTGTGCATTTCACCCCGACGTATGTTTTTCTCCCACACAAAAACAAATAGAAATTCCGCGTTTACACTAGATTCCACGTTATTTTGCCAATTCCATGATTCTGTCCGCGATTCCGTGTTCGCGGAAATTATAGGGCCCTATGGTTATCTAAACTGGCTGTTTGTTAAGTCAGCCAAAAAAAACTAGCAGGAACAACAACACTAAAAACACAGTGGAGAAAACAGAGATGCAAAAACATTTACATCCTGTGTCATTCTGAAATCCGCTTCATCCAGTGCAGGGAGGATTACACAGCCTCCATTATTGGAGAAACCAAACAACAACTACATAAACACATGGAGCAGCATAGGAGAGCCAGCGACTCTGAGAAAGATTCAGGTGCACCTCTAGAACAAAGGAGACACCTTTGAAGACAAGAGTGCTCGGACAGAGACAACAGATGGTTTGAAAGAGGGGTGAAGGAAGCCATCTTTGTGGGAAGAGAAAAGCCATTATTGAAGAAAGGGGGCGGGTTGAGGTTTCAGCTTCCAACAGTTACTATTCAGTCCTGGAACTGATTCCAAAGGGATTACATCAGACCTCTATCATAATTCAAAGACCAATCACAGAGCCCAGACACAAGAAAACACTCCAACCAGGAGAGAACGGTTAATACTGTTATTTCTTCACATTCTATGCCGTATGTCAGCACAAGATCCAAAGTATGAAGATGAGAATGTGTGGGACTATTCACATTTTGAACAAAGCCAATAGTGTCTAAGATAGCATTAAAGGCTGCTCTTAAGCTATCGCCTTCAATGTCAGCATGGATGTTAAAATCTCCCACTATGATGACCCTGTCAGTATTTAATACCAAATCAGAAAGGAACTCTGAAAACTCATCTAAGAATTCAGAGTAAGGACCTGGTGGACGATACAAAGTTACAAAAAGAAGAGGTTTTCTGGCCTTGAAATTTGGATGAAACTAAGGATTAAATGTTCAATTTTAAGAAAAGATAAAATTAGTTTTTCTTTATTGATGTTGTCAAATGGAAAACCAAATGATCTACAGATGATCTAAACTGTTTATTTATCCCATCTGAGGAAAATAAATGTTGTTATTTCGCTGAAATAAGTTTAAGACGCATAATAATCATCCAGTAAAATGAATTTTATCTTCAATCCTTTATGAAAAATACATAAAAAATCTCTAGAGGCATAAAAATCCTGTTTATCCTGTTTTTTGACTGACACCGTTTATTTCTTTTTAGTTATTATTACATTAATTCAATAATAAATGTAGTAAGGCCAAAAGAAAAGCTAAAAGGATAAACATCTCAGTTCCATTTTCAAATGGAAACAAAAAAAAAACTAAATAGTGAGAGTTTCAGGGTTTCTTCTGTTTTCCTTCTGTCCCAGTTTATAATGAGTTTATTTTGTTTTTACGCCTCATAAAGGCGTGAAATAGATTCTCAAAATCTGCTTTACTTGCTTTTTTGAATCAAGAACCACGTAGAGAGTATAATGTTACACTAGAGCATTCAGTGAATGTCTAAAAAAAGATCAAGTTTAGGTTATTTTAGATGGATTTTAAACATCTTAGATGAGACTAAAAACTAAGATTAATTTAAAAGATTAACCTTTTAAATAATGGGCATATTTAAGGTTTTAATAAATTGTGTTAAATCAGAAGCTTTTAGGCTGTGCTGCTGGTGTTGGCCACCAGAGGGAGCTGTTGGCTTTGCTTCAGCAGCAGGAGGAAGATGATGAAGAGTAGGGACCAGGTAGAAAGTGAAGCTGAGGTCTAGATGTTCTTCTAACCAGTCTATCTCTATGCTGGCAGGTGGTTCTGGGTTCTGGACTCTAGGATCCGGTTCTGTCAGGACTTTGAGAGCTCTGTGGGTGGGAGGGGCCTCAGCAGGCCTGACAGGAGCTGAGGATTAGGACTCCATCTCCCAGCATGCAGAGCGGCAGGCAGTGAAATCCCTAAAGAGGATTTGTGTGGATCAGAGGCAACATGCCGCTGAAGAAGGAAGGTGAGAATCTGCTCCATGTTTGCTTCTTTCTGTCTCTGACATCAGGAACTGCTTCATCTCAGCATCTTATTCCTCACTTAGATCTGCTGCAGGCTTAACATTGTGACCTCTGACCTCTGGCTGTGTTTAAACTGGGAGCGTAGAGAGTTGGTGGACAGACTGGTTAACTGGGCCCAGCAGGGGTTACTGGTGTGACCTCAGAGGGTCAGAAGGAGAGCGATGAGCGGCGGACGGCTCAGAGGTTCAGACCAGGTTTACTGTTTGGGACGCGTTCAGCTCAGCTTCTCTTTCTGTCTATACATTCTATTATTCATACATCCACTGCTAAATGTTTATATTTACAGTCTATCAATTAGAGAGAGAGTTTAAATCTACCTCAGCTGCTCAACGATCGTCTTTATCAGCATCAAGTTATTGTTCAGATGAAAGGTTCAAAGTTTCTATCTGAGGAAAAGCAGCTGATTGCATCTAGTCATTGATTCTCTCCTCCCTGGTGAGCAGATAGAGACAGGTAGATGTTTACTCCTCATCTATCCCTCATAGCAAGCATGCAGCGACAGTGGAGAAGAAAACTTTCTTTGAACAGGAAGAGACCTCCAGCAGAACCAGAACCAGGCTCAGTTTGACCATGAAGAGCAGCTAAGATAGAATTATGACCTGTTTTTCATTTTCATCAGGGCTTACTCCATATATACAGCAGTATAGACTCTATAGTAAAGAGAATTGGTCCTAGCAGTGATCCCTGTGGTACTCCACAGGTAACCCTGGAGCAGGAGGAAGATCTATCATTAACATTAACAAACTGAAATCTGTCAGAATGATCCGATCAGATCAAATGCAGCACTGAGATCTAACAGGGAGGGAAAGGTGGGGATACCTGCTCAGACAGGAAGTAGATCTTCCTTCTTCCTGTTGTCCAGCAGAAGATCAGAAATAAAATCACCTCTCATGGTGGTGTGTGTGTGTGTGTGTGTGTGTGTGTGTGTGTGTGTGTGTGTGTGTGTGTGTGTGTGTGTGTGTGTGTGTACTGTTTGATGTTACCTATTTAGGACTGTTTTTGGTTATATTTACTAACCTTCTGAGGACCAGCAGGCCTCTGAGGAACCAAAGGTTGGTCCTAATGTGGTGGATCCCCATTTTATTGTCACAGAGACAGTTTACAGGTCTGGTGTGAATTAGCTTGAGGAATATAAAATATACTGGTGGTTGATGGGACCAAACATCAGTGATGATGGGTTCCTGGCTGACACGTTTCTGGGATGTTCTCAGTTTGGGCCATAAGGACTAAGAGGACCTTCGGTTTGGTTCCTCAGCCTTCCTGAGATCTCTGATCAGGCAGGATGCACTGGGCCTTCTGCCGGTCCTTCTCCTGGTCCTTCTCCTGATCCTTCTCCTGGTCCATCTCCTGATCCTTCTCCTGGTCCATCTCCTGGTCCTTCTCCCGATCCATCTCCTGGTCCTTCTCCCGATCCATCTCCTGGTTCTTCTCCTGGTCCGTCTTCTGGTCCTTCTGCTGGTCCATCTCGTGGTCCTTATCCTGATCCATCTCCTGGTCCTTCTCCTGGTCCATCTCCTGGTCCATCTCCTGGTCCGTCTCTTGGTCCATCTCCTGGTCCTTCTCCTGGTCCTTCTCCTGGTCCTTCTCCTGGTCCATCTCCTGGTCCTTCTCCTGGTCCATCTCCTGGTCCGTCTCTTGGTCCATCTCCTGGTCCTTCTCCTGGTCCGTCTCTTGGTCCATCTCCTGGTCCTTCTCCTGGTCCG